AATCAGGCTCTTAAAATACAAAAATATAATATTGAAACTTATAAAGTTCGAGCTGTAACCCCTTCGATTACCCAAATGTATTGGCTTGTTAATACTTTCAGTCCCATCGAGGCTCAAATGAGCCGATATCCTCTCGAACTCCCCAACCAATCGCAGTTGAAAAAGTTTGCCATAAATTTATGCATTTTTCCAGCAGGTATATTTCCACCTGGATAGATCACGCCCCCCACGAGGGAGAAGTAATTCAGATGGTTTTCTATTATTATTTTTTTTTTGTTATTTTGAAAGCCAGAAATTCAATTCGTGATGTGAAATGTAATATTCATTAAAATTATAATGCGCACAGGTGGGTTAGAAAACGGCAAACGAGGCCCTAGTTTAGTACGCCCGGGCTCAAAATTCCCCAAAGTAGGGGGAATGCCATAATGCGAGTAGATTTTCCGAGTTTTCCCCCCTTTTCGGCACATTTTAGCCGTTTGCGCTCAATCCGCTCAGTGCAGTTTGGCAAATTGTGCGGCGTTTTCCACTGCCAACTTTCATGCCTACATGCCTGGCTAGGAATGGGAAAAAGAGGGCTTTTACATACACACCCACACAAGTGTCCGTAGTAATTGCCGCCGTGCTGTTGATTACACTTCAACGGTCGACCCACTCACCCACCAACTCCCCCCCATAAACTTCACACACACTCGCCCAGCTTCCTTCTGGTGGCACTCGCCCGTTGGGCTTTTAACTGCGCTAGTTTCAGCCATAAACTCGCAGACGATGCCCGAGTTGCACCAGTAGAACATCACAAGTGCTGCATCTGAATCTGAGGCTGGAGCTGGAGCTGGAGCTGGAACAGAGGCATCCAACAGCCTCCAGGCAGTGATTGCCAGCCGACAAACTTGACGCTTTCGTTTTGCCCAACTGACTTTCTTAATGGGTAGCTTTTTTAAAATTCTGTCAATTTTCAGGACATCCTTAAGAGGAATATCTTAAAATATTTGCAGATCTATTATCTTTAAATCTGCAGCAAAACTTCAACACAGTATTTTTGATCTATATTTTTCCAGTTTACTGATGGAACTCTTTATGAAACATGGAATTACCATATATAACCCATAGCCATTACCATAATTCTGTCAATTTCTATCTAGTGCCATCTTCAAAGAACAACCTTAAACTATTTGCAGTTGGATTCAACATTAATCTGCCTAAAAACATTAATACAACATTTTTGGATAATTTTTATAAAAGCCCTTGCAAAATCAATGTTTCTTTATGGCCCATAACCATGTCTATCCCTTTACCAAATTTTACCCGGTCTTTATGAAGAATACCTTTTCCAATCGATCTGCTTTACAAAATTAAAACAATAATTTGAATACTTAATAATTAAGAAAAGTATAGTATAAGTATCCTTAAAAAAATTTAAAAACAAAATGTTCGATTTAAGTGTTTTTTAATTTATGATGCCAACCCCTTTATAAAACCATGTTTTCCTTATACGAACCCTTATCCATGACCATATCTTCACCAAACTCCCTCCCATTCTTGAACGTTATACTTCAAAATATGTTGAAGCTTTATTCCCCATAAAATCAGAGTTTCAGAGTCCAAAGAATGAAATTCAGAATATTTATTTCCCTCCATAACCATATAGAATAAAACAATTTTGTCTCCCTCCATGCATGAATATGGATGTGTGCAACTGCTCGTGTCCCTCTTTAGTTCGAGAGTCCTGCATCCCCAAACTAAACGCCTTCTGTTCCACCCGCCGCCTGCCAGGCTCTGCCCCTCCTGAGTTGGATGGCTCCGCTGAGCTGTGGCAGCAGCTATATTTGAATATTTAATTTTTTAGCGAGCAGGGAACATTTCGCACTTCGAAACCTGACGCTAAACACTGCCAGAGAGCTATCGTTTTTACCCGCCGGTTAGTACACACCCTCGCCGAAACCCATATCCCCGTCGGTCTGTGTGTGTGTGGGGGTTTTGGAAAGCAAACAAAATGTTTTCTACGGCAAATGAATCAGCTCGTGGTATATGTGAGACGACTTTGCTGATTGCGAGTTCAATGCTCGAACGGCAACGAGGACAGGCACAAATTGGCTTCAACGGAATTGTTCAAATTCATAATTAATATAATTTGGACACGACTCTGTTTTGATGTGGCACACCCCTTCCCAGCCATACTGCCATGCCATCCATCTGCCCAATCCTGCCATCCCACAAAACTGTCCATTTTTCACCTGTCATCTTTTTAATTAAAAGAATTTCGCTTTAATAAATTCAACATTGACAGCAGCAGGTCGCCAGAAGGTGTCGGGAAAATTAATGAAAGTGTTGGATGGAAAAAAAAAGAGGTTAAATGCACGCATTTCATGTCCAACTGTTTCTCTCGTTAAGTGTGCTACAATTTAAATGCTATTTCAATATTTAATTTAACTCTCAGGGACTGGATTTTCAAAAGGAGACTGCTTTTCCCACACAAGTGATTGACGAAACGAGAATTACAATGAGTGAGGAGAAGGGAGTGGCAGTTTTTCAGGAAGTGCTTTTATAATACTATGGTATGGTAGTATTTTAAAAGTTCTTCAGTTTCTGAGGGCCGCTGCCGCATATCGTACGGGTGGGACTGATACAAAGTTCCCTTAATCCATTTGACATTTTGCCGTTGAGTTAAGGCCACTCGCTTCTAAAAGAACTTCTTGGATGAACAAATTCCAAAAACTATTCCTTCTTTTTTTTTGTAACATTTTGAAGTCTTGCAAAATACGGCAAAAAAACACGTTTGAAGGAAAATGGTCGAAAAAGGGAGCGGTAGACGAGTACGCGCCAAACTGTATGGCATTATGGCCATTGCAGGGGATGTGCTGGTTTTCGTTGCTGTTGATGTTGTTGGCCCACGCGTACTACGTGCAATGTCACCAATAATGTCACCCATATATACCTACAAGGACATACACCCACACCCACACCATCATAGATAGAGACACAAATACAAAGAAATCCACTCACACCCGTGAAAACTTCCGCTCTGGTTGCATTGTTCATTTAAATTCTAATTTGTATTTGGTGCACTCGACTCGACTTGGAACGACAGTGGGACTTCAGCCTTCAGAGGCGAAAGAGCAGAGAGGGCCAGACGGCAGGACACGTTTCCTGCCAGTGGACAGGTGTAGGCAGGAGCAGGTCGACATGGGACCTGACTTCGAGACCCTCACTCACTCCACGCAAAGAAAAAAAAAATGCCTCGACCATGTTCCAATGATGTCCTTGAAAAAAGGCAAATTCCACTTGGCAACTTTTGGTGCGCCTGTTGTCGTGGGCGTAGGTGCGACTTTGGGAAATTGTTATTTTATTTCCTCTTGCTACAAATTTGAATTTCCCCGAAAATTGCAATCATTTTCTCCAAAAAAATACAATTTTATTCTTTGGAAAATCTTCGGCGCGGTATTGAAAGTCCATAAAGAATTTAATATTCCGATAAATGAAAGTTTTGCGGAAACTTTTCGGCTATTTGGCCAACTAGAAGAAAAGAAACTTGGCATTCGCTGGAAAATAAATTAAATGGTTTATGGCTTTTTAAAGATTCATCTTTGAATCGATAGGTTTTTAGCATAATTGAGCAATTATTTATCTCGCTGGCCTTGTTTGGTGCGAAAAATTAAGACATTATATGGCGGATAGTCTTAATTTGTGGCAAGTATTGTATCGTGTACACATACTCTTGTGTATTCAACCCAGTTTTAAGTTATTCCAGCCCGGATAATTTCATTGCCTTCTCGGGTCTTTCGACGTGCCATTCCGCAATCTAGAATTCTCTTATCTTATTGCACGGCATTGTCGGCTATCGGCAATTCCAATCTGTAGGCTTCTTCTCCCCCTTTTCCCGAGCTTTTCCCTGGTTTTCCCTTCCATTTTGCCTTGTTTTCCCTCCATTTTCCCCGGCCTGTTAAGCCGACATGTCGTTTCATTTAAAGTTTATCGCGTTTTACCGTCGTCCGTCTCTTTCACCTCAATCTGGCCATCTCTCTCCTTTTTAGTGGGCCTTCTCAGTCTTTCTTCTGGGATTTTTTTTCTCAGTTTTTCTTTTTTTTTTTAATTTAGTTGCAGTTTGTTGTTGTCGCTGCTTTAGTTGATTAAAAACCGCACTCAAAGTGGAAATGCGCTTTTCTTTGTTCGGGCCCTGTAGCCATCTCTTTCCCCTAGAGTTTCCCTTTCTCTTTCGCTCGGTGTGTCTTAGGGCTTTTGTTCTGCGGCCGCTTCTGCTGGAATTTATAGCAGGTTTAACCCACTTTGCCGTAAATGTTCTCGATTTCAATCCCCCAAGGCTGTCGGCCATGTAAACTTTTTAAATTAGTTGTCAAATGCAAGCAGCTAAAGCGGATTGCGATAACGCATATAGTACAACCCCTAAACATTACTACAATATATATAACTAATACCAATACTAATGAAGCCAACTGGCATTAATTAAAAGGTAAAATATTTTCAGAGTTTTATGTCCGTTGCGGCATGTTGCATATACGTAGATTGCGTGCCTCGGGTGCATTGACTTTGAATTTTGATGGGAAATTGTTGTTCAAATGCCACGTCTGGCTAAGTAAACTTGGCTAAAAACGCCAACTTCAATCTCAGATAAGCCCAATTGAAAGAGTTCAAATACGGTTAACAATTATTGTTGCACAAAAAACAAAAACTATCGATTTTATGTTTTAATTTTATTTTAATTTTCATCTTTTCCACAAGGTTACACTTTTTAGTTTTAAAATGTAAATATTTATAAGCTTAAGAATTTCATTTTATATTTTCTAGCATTTAATAATTTAAACTCTTTAAATATTTCATAATTTTGTACTAAGCAATTTTGGATAAAAAATAAAAAACATATCCCTCCCAAAAGCCGAAAAAGTTCCTTACAAAAATCTCCCTTTGTTTCTCTCTGTGTAGCTTACTGTGTAGCCTTGACTCTTTGGTTGCTAACTGATGACCCTGCTTCCCGAATTATGTTCCCCTCAGGCCTCGTCGTAGTTGGGCTTGTCCCCGAACTTGATGGATCCTCGCTGCCGGATATTTTCCCGGGTCTGCCGCTTATACTGGCTCTTGGGCGCCTTGGGGGCCAACGGCTGCTCAAAGGCCACGGCACTGGGGCCGATGGGACTGGCCAGCTGGAAGCTGCTGTGGGCCACCTCCGAGGGCCACTTGTCGCCGTGCATCGCCTCCACCAGGGCGGCCTCCAGCTCCTCCTCCTCCAGCTGCTGCTTGTGCTGGTGCTTCTGCTGGCGCTGCTGCTCCTGGAGACGGGCGCGCAGACTGCTCATGGCGAAGCTGGGCGGCGTGGTATTGGACTCGGAGTGATCCTCGCCCTCGCGGATCACATACACCTCCTTGTTGTGGTGATGATGGTGATGTTTCCGCGGCCGCCGGGTGGTGGTGGCAACGGCCTCCCTTTCGCGGTACTTCTTGAGGAACGAGGCGGGGTAGTTGGGCGCCTCTGTGGTGCTGGTTGTGGTTGTGGGGCTGCTCGTGGTGGTGCGAGTCCTGGGCCTCGGCGTCTGAGTCTGCTTGAAACTCATGCCCTGGCTGGGCACAAAACCACTCTCCATGGAGGCCACCGACTCCAGTTCCTCACTGCCCTCGCCGGTGTGTTCTGTGACCTCGTAGCGGTGACCCATCTGCTTGGCCACCTCGTTCTCGGCCTCCGCCTCCTCCTCCATATCCTGCTCGTACTCGTAGCTGACCAGCTTCTCGGGCTTCGGCAGCATCTCATGATCCCCGCTGGCAATGTTCGTGTGCAGGCGAGTCAGGGGCTGGGGCTTCAGGGTCACAAAGGAGCTGGGATACTCGCCGGGCTTGTAGACGGGCTTCCAGCTCTGGTACTCCATGATCTTGCCGGAGATGACCTCGTTGGAGGAGCCGCCGCGTGGTCTCTTCGACTTGAAGTACTTCTCCATAATGGCCTCGTCGCTGGTCATGGGCGCCTTGCCTTCGGCGATTAGCTCCTGCTCCTTCTCAAGCTGCCTCATCCTGTTGTCGTACTTGATGACTGTGGTCATCTCCGTCACTGTGGGCTTGGGTAGGGGTCTCCTGAACTTGACCACTTTCTTAGGCGATGGCCGCATCTTGATGATCTTCATGGGCTTGTTGTTATGGGGATTCCGGATGATGTACTTCACCCGGGTCATCTCAGTGGGCAGGAAGTCCACAGTGGTCTTTTGGTTGTGTCCCGCCGCATTCGGCAGCAGATCGGTTATCATGGTCTTCATGGCCCGGGCTCCATTGAACATTCTTCCCAACACCCCACCCATTACGGAGTTGTTCATCTCTTGCCACATGAAGCGTCGTTGGATTCTAGGGGGGGATATTCAAGATGTTCCTCCTAGTGTTGGGGGTGTATTATAGATACTCACCTGTGATCTTCAGCCTGCTGCTCACTCCTAATCCCGTTTAGGTTGAGCAACAGCAGCATCAGCGAAATCCCATAAATCTAGAGTTTTAATAATCCAATTCCGATCCGGATACGTAGCAGGTTGACAAGAAACAATTAGCTGATGTGTTACACTTCCTTGGTAATCCGCTTGTGGCTTACTTACGCAATGCTTCCTCATGTCTCCGAAAAAAAACGCGAATATTCCCACCGTTCGATTTGAATATCTGAAGTGGCAAGTGGAAACTAGTGACTGGCTGACTGGAGTTACTGGCAAATTACGAGCTCGTTGTGGGTCTGTTGGCAAAAATCAACTGTCGGCGCCTGCGCGCCAAGCACCTGCTTTTATATACTACCTAGCTAGTAGTTGCCACTAGCTGTGGCAAGTTGCAAGTTGCTCCAATTACACCGGAGAGCTCGTTGGCTTTGAGCTTGGCATTGGCATTTTCACTTTCGTTGGGAACAATGGCTATAGCTTTTTGGGCTGGCCTGGCCGCCTTTCGTCAGGCAATTAGTTCCATTACTTTTCAAGTATCTTGTGGTTTGTCTATTTTGCCTTTACATACATATTTCTTTCCTTCCTCTAGTTTTCAGTTTATAGTTTTCAGTTTCCGTGTGCATTTTCTTGCTGCTTGATTTCTTGCTGCATTTTGCAGCTGCCTCTTGCCTACCGGGTGGCGTGAACTGAACGCTTTGGTTGGGTTTCGCTTTAAATATTTGTTAAATTATAATCGAAAAAGCTTCTTCGATTTGCACCAGGCACCAATGTGGATGTGCCATCATCATCAGCAGCAGCAGAAGCCAAACTGTTTAATTATGACTTAATATTTATTAATGAGCGTTTTCGGTTTCTGCCTTGCCTCTGCTCTTCAATTTATTGACGCCGCACACTACTATACAATCCTATACATATTGTATCCTCATCATTATTATTTTCGCTTTTCATCATCATTTTCTTCATCAATGGCCGGCCATCTCCATCTGTTGGCCAAAACGTGCCAAACGATTCGCTTCGCCAAATGACTTTGTGGCGTGTATGCATTTTTCAACTCGCAACGATGATGGGCACGATGATGGCCATGCTGCTGATGTTTGTTGAGATATTTCCTTTTGTTTGATCAAAGTGCTCCACTTGAACACTTACAGCTACAGATATGTGCATATTACATTATCGTATATATATTTTTTGGCGCCAGGTGTCACCACTTCAAAGTCAAATGCCTCATTACGGGGCGACGTGTGTCAACGCCATACACTCGCATATTTTATTTAATAAAATGCCTTTTGTGGAGTCGAGTGGTCATGTGAGAAATTTATACGCAATATTCAGGAATTTCAAATGTCAAAAGGACGAAAAGGCAATAAAAATATGAGTTTAATTAGATTTAATTTGCCTTTATGCCAGGACTCCCTTTGAGCTGAAAAATGTGTATAGTTGCATACTTTCGAACTAATAAAGTGGAAATAGTTTTAAAGTATTTGGTTGCGGGGCTAAAAGGGGTTTAAGCCATGAATATGGAGAACAGTTTGAAGCTATTAAAGTGTTAATTCTCGGGTATCCTTCAGATATTATCTGGTATAAGCTGGCAATAAATTTTGATGGCCTTTAGGCCGAGTTAATCCGATTTGTCTTGCCCTTTTGCAAGGTTATCAAGTTGTAATAATTGCATTTTGTGCTCTAATTAAACATCTGTTAAATGGCCACGCCGACACTGAGAAATTAATGTCTTTATAGTGTGTTTGCTTAGTCCTTGCCTTGTGTTCCTGCCACATTGCGTATACGCAGCGTGGAGCGGGTGCTGAAGAGCTGTTGTTTCGTTCGATACGCGCTCCACGCTTCAGTCAATAATGTATTTAAAATGCCATTTGTGTAAATGGATTATGTAATCGATGCAACATTGTGGCACGAGTGGAAGCTACACAGCGCTGAGCCATCAGTAGCCAACTCATAGTAGCCCCCTTTCCTCTAATGCAATATGCCTTTACATTGTGGACTGTACATGCTCCTCATGTACGTCCTGCGTATATAGACATATTTGTGTTATTGCTGCCTAGCCTGACTTTCCTGATAATGCTAGCTTACAGCCAACGTCCCGCACTCCTTGTTGTTGTACTCGTCCTTGCATAAAAGCAAATTGATGCCCTAAGCCAAATATAAACACAATAAAACCAAACAGGCCACAGCAACAACGAACCGGCACACACGCACACCCTGAAAAAAATTAAAGATAAACATTTAATTATTTCATAGGCAAATAATAAAGTGAATTTTAAAGTAGAATTATGATTTCAAATCCATAATTTTTTATAAAAGAAATACTTAAACCAAGACTAGAGAGATTTCTCTTGGTGTAGTCGAATTGTAAGCCTGAAGGAGCTGAGAGAACTCTTGGGTTACTCGTTCCACAGCCATATCAGTTGGCCAAGCATAAGGCGAGAGCTAACTGCAAATTGTATGAGCTCGAAATTTGCCTGGATTCTGAGATATCTGGTAGATGGTAGCTACTAGTAACACTACCACACTAACACTAATACTGACACTACACACTACATCCAATCCTCCCACCCAGAAAGACATCTCATCCCAAAAACCTTGATAACGTTCGTATTTCGGTGCCTACCATAGACACTCTCTTCAGAAGCATTGTCTGAGGCAATAACTTTGACGAGTAATGGAAACAGGCCTCCGAATCGGACCCTGATTGATACGGATCGATGGTCACTTACATGTGACAGCCATCAGTATGGCAGGGATAGCTGGGGGCTTGGTTAGGTTAAGCCTAGAAGGTGATGTTTTACAGAAGAGAACAGACCTTTTGAGGCTTTTAATTTCCATTTATTTTAAAGTTCTTATATTTTCACTAGCCAATTTATTGATATTGATTCTGTTATTGTGGCAGTTGTTAAACTTAATAGTGTATTTCGAGGGTAAACAAGCATTTACCTGCCCTTTTTCCATCCAACAGTCCTCCAATTTTTTACATATACATGGACATATCCTTGCTATCCTGATGTCCTGCTGTCCGGAGTTGTCCATATACTGCTTTTCTACTGATTTTTTTTTTCTTTTTGGACTGATTTAATGCCAGGGGCGATTCTGTTGTTCCCGATACATTTTTTTTCTGCTGCTCTGGTTGCATTTTTGCCTTCAATGGCGACACCATTTTCTGCTCCACAAAAGCAGAGCTGAAAATATTGCGCATACGCCACGTATTCTCAGTTTTCTATCCATGGATTGTCAGCTCTGCCGAGCTCGTATGTGTGCGTCCTAGTGTGTCCTAGTGGGTGTCTGTGAATGTGACTGGGCCATCACAAAAGCTTTGAAGTTGCATAGATAAGCCTGAGCCGGAGCAAATGCTGCATAACCCAAGGCGCTTGGCCCGCGAAGGCGACAACTTCCAGACCAGAAACCAGAGACCAGAGTCTGTGCAGCAGGATGGCGGATGAAAAAAAAAATATGCGAAAAAAACATAAACTTATGTCATAAGCCATAGCCCCTTAGCAGCGCGCACAAGGGTCCGCCAAGGCATTAACCCATGTAAGCCGAAAGTGTCAGGCAATGGCCGCGGGGACTCCACAGCCCCAACCCCCCAGGACGAAACAAAAAGAAACTACAGCCCCAGACACACACACATTTTAAGCTTATTTAATGCGCGCATAAATTATTCAGAGTGCGGGCGGATGGGTGTGGGATGGGTGCAGGTCCTTCGCGTCCTGGGCATACTCAATTATTTTAGATTATGTTTGGATTAGTGGTCAGGAGCAGGACTATCGTGCTCCGCTATGGCCTGGTTCAACGGTCTTTGTGTCTGGTTATTGCACTTTATTGTCATTGGAGCCGAACTGGCGATGACAGGCCCCCCGAAATGGCTTTCGAGTCCTTTGGCCTCACTTCCTGTACTGATACCGGGTTCTTCCTCCTTTTTTTTGTTTCGGCTTGGGCTTTGGTCGTGGCTTGCAGCCTGGTCCAATCAATATTTAATTGACCCATTTCAGGGCATTCATTCCCTATGAATGGACGGCCGACCCGCCGTCCGATGTTTTGTTCGTTTTTTGGGCGAAAACAATTTATCCAATTGCAGCCGATTAAGAGTCACCCCTATCCTCTGGGCAGGTCCTTTTGGCGTTGAAATGTAAATTGCAGTTGTCAGAAAAATTACAAATTAAATAGAGAGAAATATTTATTTGTCCTGTACTAGTACTGTACTGCTTTAAGTGCTATTACCATTTGTTTCAAGTTAATGTTGCCTTTAAATTCTCAGTCGAAACAGAGCCACTTTGTTGCAGGATACCCAGATACTGCGGGCCATTGAGCCATTTAGGGCATAAATTAGATTAGAACAGGCCATAGCCAGTTGGTAATGGGCGCTGAAAGCATTTTTTTAGCCGCTCTGCCAGGCCTCTTACTTAATTTATATTAATGTGGCTGCCATCTTTCTCTCTCCCAGTCTCAGTATCAGTCCCAGTCCCTGTTCCATCTTATTGTAGATCTGCGAACGTCCTAAATTAATTTACACGAGGCACGACAGAAAGGCACAAGTGCCTGCTGCTGAATCCCTGATGCCCCATAAAATTCACGTCCCCCGCCATTTTTTAGGGCTTCCCAATGCCAGTATGATTCATTTTTTTTTGTTGCTATGGCGGCTGTCATATTCAATCAAATTTGTTATGGAAATAAATTGACAAATAAATTGTTGTATCAATTTATTCGTATCATTAGCGTGTCCCTTGGCGGCAAATTGGTTTTCAATTGATGGAATTTGTAAAGATTTTGGTTTCTCTTTTTTCTTTTTTGTGATTATTTGGCTTTAATAATTGTTTCATTTCTTTAATCTTTATAGAGGATTTATTGATATCCTTTAAGGTACATACACTGTAGCCCAAGTGACCCACTTTTTTCCCATCCATGCCCATTGATACGCACACATTTTTGTTTCATTTCGATTCTGAAGCCGTAACCTCAGAAAGCGCCGCCGGCAACGACACGCTGATTAAATCAAATAACTTATGGCTTAGCCGCCGCTCCTTGCCGCCTCCTTGGAGTCCTTTCCTCCTTTTAGCTAGGAGCCAGGAGAAGTAGAGGATACTCCCAGTTGTCGGACAACGGAAATCAGCGCTGCCCAATCTGCTGTGTGGCCGAGTTTGGTTTGGCTTGGTTTAGTTTAGTTTTTTTCGCCTTCGTCCTTTTTGGCTGGATTGCTCGGCAAGGAGCAGGGAGCAAGGAGCAGCCGGGCAGTGGTGGTGGCTCATTGTGTATGAAATTTGCTCAACTGCAAGCCAAGCAGAAGGAAATTGCACACACAAACACACACACTATGAAAACCGCACAACCTTATCCTGCTCAGTGGATTCTTCACTTTTTTGTTGTTGTTGCTGTTGTGCTACCAGAAGCTTCTCCTTTTCTGCTCGACTGCTGATGCGAAAGCTTTCTTAGGGCACTGAGAAAAAAATTGAAATCTAAAGAAGTATTGAAATATTTCATAAAATACTACAACTTCTTTCAAACATAAAACGCGTTTCCGCGTAAATAATATCTTAAAGATATGTGTATTTAATAATAGTTTAGACTTTCATACCAAATATTGAATAAATGCTATGTTAGTTGCTTTAAAAAGTAAATATTTTTTAATAATTGTAAGGCTTGTTTTTAGGGCACTGATAGGTATAATTCAGATCCCAGTAAATATTGAAATATTTAATAAAATACTAAAACTGCCTTCAAAAATACATGGCGTTTCCGGTTATGTCTAAATGTGACCTACTTCGTATATAATAATCTAAAGCTAGACTCGATTATTTAATATTAGAGGCTTTAAAATCTATTTCTTAGCATGATGTAAGTTTAGTTATAGTAGATTTTTGTTCAGTGCCTCACTACTGCCACCATTTTTGCTTAGCCATATATACTTGAAAACGTTTACTACTTCCATGTATCTATGGAAGTGTGTGTGTGTGATAGCCATCCTTTGTTGGTATCCCTGTCGCAATGTTCATCTTTTGTTTCAATTGCTGCTCTGCTGACGGTCAGCTTAGATTCCAGCCCGTATCTAAGCGGAATCATCCCGTCCGCAACACTCATTTTGGGACCCCAACTCCCCTACTTGCCTCGCTTTGCTGCCTCATTTTTGCCGTGCGGTTGGTTTATTGCAATTGATTTTGACTCCGCTGTTTATGCCAACTGAACAATCGAAGCAGTTTAATCCAACTGCCAACTGCCATCTATTCCCATCTATTGCCTTGTTTGCTTTTGTGTTTGGGTAAGCATTTTGCGAGCTTCGTAGCGATATGGATGCGATTGGATTTCAATGTAAGACAACAACTTCAAGCACTGAAATAAAATCGAAATCAGAGCTTAGGTGTAACAGGGCTCAGAGGGCCGAATACTGAAGGCTATTTTATTTAAAGACACACATAAAGCTAACTATATAGTTCTCTAGTCAAGAGTTGAGAGTTATTTTTAGGAACTATCTCCCAAAATCCTCTTTAATAACAATCCTGTTTATCTCTGATTTTCCAGGTACGTGCACGGCATTGGCTCGGAGACAAGAAACTCGCTCTTCCATTTGCACAATGGACGCGACATGGTCCTGGTTACCACCTGTCGTCATGGGAAGAGTTGGCGGGAGCTGCAGGATAATCGCTGTGACGAGGACAACCGCGAGTACGACAGGTAAGTAAAGATGATGATGGTATACCCCAATCCCTCCATCCAATATAGTCCGAGATGATGGCCAGAAATTGTTTCTAGCTGTCATTGGGTCGGCAAAGTAATTTGTTTAGCCTCCGCCATCGTGCTAATAGCTGCCACGCCCCATCCTTTGGCCATTAACCGGAGTCCTAGGCGGAGTCCGCCCTCTATCTCTATCCATCCAGCTTGGCTGTGCGTGGTGATTAATGTCCTGAAATCCGACTTGACAAGCTCATTTAAATGGCACGACACTCGGGCCAAAGGCATTTGCAATGCCAATGGATTTCGTTTAGCGCCAGAATCGGATACTAGGGGCGGTGACTTTTCAATCATGGTCAGATGATTTGAAATGTTTTTCGGGCCAGACTTGGCCCATTTACTTTCACCAAATTAATGGTTGAAATGAAGTTATAGCAGTGGGTTGTCAAGAATGTACTCATCACTTGATTGAGTTTGAAGATAAAGGAACTACACAGTCTACTGCATATCTAGATACTTCACAACGGAGGAAACAAGCAAAAATGTCACCTTTTACCTTTAATTGAATGCAATTTTTCAGATTTTGAGCGCCCAGCTTGCCGTCACTTTCTTCGCCACTCGCTTGTACTCTTTCTGGCGCCTCACCGCGTTGTCTGTCGCCTTCCCGCCACCGTAATATGACATGACTTATGCGACAAATCTGCTTTTGGCGTCAAGCGTCAGCGATTTATGCTCGTCCTGCATCCTCCTTCCTCTGTATATCCTTTTGTGGATCCTTTCTCCCCTACAAACCCCAATGTTCTACATAATCAAGCAAATTGCTTTCCCACTCACATCATTTTTTATCAGGGGGGACCTGGGCCTTCGCCGTCTGGAAACTTCGTTAATGCACCTGTCAGATATATCTTTTCCATACTTCCTTCTCAGTTTCCTTCCCTACATGTTGTTTTGTGTCCAACTATGGGTGTACGTGTATATATGTATATTTTTGGGGAAAATTGCATAATGCCCTTGAATAGCATCAGCGATTTTTCCATTTTCCATTTTTTTTTTTGCAGACAATCTCTAAAAGCTCATGAAAGTTCCTTTGGATTTTTGATGAGTTTCCCTCCCCGACATTAATATGCAAAATGAGAGCTGTTGTTGTGGCTGCCACTTAATATACATGGTGATGAGGGTATCTGGGTATCTATACATAGTAGTATCGGAAACCAGAAACCGAAATCCATTCAATTTGACAATGACTTTAGGAAACTTTTCCCATTTTCTATGGCCATCAAGTCGACGGTCAGTGAAGTATCAAATTAATGTTATTAGAAAACCAAGAACCAAAGATTGTTTTATGAATATTTATACAGGAGTTGAAATATATTTATGAGGCCTTCAAAATTTCATGACGTCTCTGTACTGTAACTCATAAATTTTAAGACATATTTCTTGAATATTTTCCATTTTAATATTTATTAGCAATTTCAAGTTCATCCTAAGATCGTAAAAACTTAACTTTAATTGTCGGGACTTTTTCTCAAAAACAATATGTATGTGTGTATATTTATTGCCATATTCTTTAAAGGAAAATCCATTAAAAAGTTTTGTTATTACTCCATCCTTACAGCCGCCTGGCCCTCGACACCCTGCCGACTCCGCAGCCGAAAAAGAAAACTTTCCCAACTGCATTCAGAAACCTTGAGCTGCTTTTAATGAAATTTTTTTGTTGCCCCCGCTGTCGCTTCACAAAACGTCTCTTTTTTTTTTTGGCGGTGGGTTGTGTTGTAATGAGCCTTAGGCGTCAATGGCTTTTCCGCGGCGTTGTTGTCATGCAACATATGTGTGCAGCAAGGACATCAGGGGCACGGGGCTGGCGGTTGATGAGCCGCCGATGATGACAGCAATGAGTGCAAAAACATGCCGCACGGCGCCAGTTTCATTTTTTTTTGTGGCTTCTGATCAACGAGGTCAACGATTTTATCCATTTCTTGCCACAAACAGTTGGACTATGCGGTTGCCAAAGGACCCTAAGGACTAACTTTGCTTGTGGTTGCAGTGTAAGAGTAGATGGCTGTGTTTTTGTAAAGCAGACTGTGCCTATTTTGGAAGTCTCAGCTCAAAGCGGCAACTGCGAGAAATAATAAGAGGCGCCATGTAAATGTCCTTGGGAGTAAAAGTTGTTCCTCATTTTCTTTTAGCCTCCTTAGTGTGTGTGTGTTTTTTTGTGGCTAACAGCAGACGCGACGAAATTACGTATACGCCACGTAGCTGGCAGGGCACGCCAACTGTTGCAGCCACACGTAACCAAGTTTGTGGATGTGTGTGCAACACCCCATTTCCTCAAGGTTGTCCCGCGGCAACTTTCAACTTTTTGTGGCCCTTTAATTTGGGCTTAACAATTTATAAAGTTTCTTTCTTTCTCTTTTTTTTTTGGCCAATTTTCAATACGTAATTTTTGAAACTTATTTGGGTGTATGGGGGTGTGGAATGGTCCGCCAGGAGTTAAAGGATCTACTAAGGATACTCTTTTGAAATGAATTTAAAATTCAATCCCCCACTTTCGAACATGGCAACTAATTTAAACATATGAAAATCAGGGAAGCAAGGATCTTTGGCAGTCAACTCATTACAGGACTCTTTCCCCCCCACTCTCTTCCTCTCCCTTATGCCCTTCTCAAATCCGGCTTTATGCATTTTTCATAATGTAATTTCCCAAGTAATAAATTTTCATGCCAGCATCATCATTATCAACAACAAGCAGGAGCAGGCAGGCAGGAGTGAAAACTTCGGTAGTTCGGTGCAGCAGCAAGGTGCAGCTGCCATTGCACCTGGTTGCAGAGCCTCGCCTTCAGCCCTCCAGCCCTCCTGCCCCCACTCGTTGCCACTTTCCACGTTAATCTCAGATTTCCACATAAATCACTTTAAAAAGGCGACACACTTGCAGGCGGCGAACAAGGAGCAAAGGTAGCTGCTGGAACAGAAGGCGCCGGGCTCTCCTAAAGACTCCTGCTCCAGCTCGGGCTCCCGAGAAAAAGCAAGCTAGTAACCAGTCCTGCAATGGCAATTTCTTTGAGTACTTTCTCCTATTTCCCCTTTCTGCTATTATATAGCTTTTCTTCGGTGTGTGTCGGTATGTAAGTTGCCCCAAAAAACGTGCCAAGTAATTGCCGGCCATTGCCTTAATGTCCTGGGCATAAGGACCTGCCATGAACTGAGAAAATAATAACCAGACTTTACACCCAGGCCCTTTTAATTTCCCCAGCCTTAGAAATTGTGTATTTATTAAATTTCAATGAATATTGGAAAATGATTGTTGGCTTTTGTGGAGACGACAGCATGTGTCTTTCAAAGGAAAATAATAAATATTTTCCTCTCTTAAACTTTTATGGTTTAAACTTTAGAGCCACACCGTTTTCATGTAGGGGCCATAATAGTGTCTTTGAATCTCTGTAATAATCATAAATGCATTTGATTTTCATGCATTTGGAAGCTGGGGAAAACCTTTTTCCCATTTTTCCTCCCTCTTTCCGGTAAACTCCCATACGCATTTTGTGCAATTGCACAGCGTCTCCGTGCGGTTATGCTGCCTTTTCTGCTTTCATTATGAGCCATTATCACAAGCTGGCGACAAGCGACTACCAAGCTGGCCACAAAGAAAGCTTGGGAAATGGCCAGCAGAGAATGGGGGGGCAGAGTGTGGGTGGGGCCTCTCTGGAGGACGTTTGATGCGAGCTTTGCACTTGTAACTAATGCGCCATGTTTAATGTTTCGCTGCCTTTTCCACTTATTTCTATTCTTTTGTTGTTATTCTTTTACACTTAAACAAATTCTAAAATAATTCTAGATGGGATTGTATAAAAGTTTTATGTTCTAACTAAAGTTGTTCTAATTTCAAATCTCCACTAAACTATTTTTCCCCGGTGTCCTTTTTCTTATCATCTTTTTTGTGTCCTTGCTGCTACCCTGCTTTTTGGCCAAACAATGGCAACTTTTACAGCTGCGTTTTTCTCCCACTTTTTCTCTCCAGTTTTCCCTCTATTTTCTCTATTTTTGCTGAGCTTCTCTATCTGCTCCTTTTGTTTAATTTTTTTGTTTGTTCTTTGCTCCCTGGCTCGTTCTCCGGCGACGGGCAGTGCATTCGAAATGCTTTCCAAATTGTCTTTATTTCGAATGCTGTTTTTGAAAAATTTAATTTTCATTGAAATTCATCGCCATTTCTCACTCCTGGTACTATTGGCTTTAAGCTTTCGGGCCAAAAAACTTTTAGCCAAGCCGTCTTGAGCTCTGGCTTGACATTTCGCCCACTTTTCTTTTGCTCATTTATAGTTTTTGCCTCATTTTTGCTTCATTTTTGCTGTTTTAGGATCTTTTTAATTAATTTTGCATTTCGCTGCAGTTGACAAGCAAGACCCCGCCATTGGAAAAAGCCCGCGCCTTTAAGCAATTAACTAAAAGTTGCGTATACGCCTCGGGGGCCAATGAAAAGGAATGTGCCTGTGAAGAGCTCTTGGCCAAAATCAAAGATGACAAGGCACAATGCAAAAGCCACAAAAGAAATATACCTACTTGGAAATAAAGATTCTGAAGTAGTCGTGAGTCGATATGCGGAAAACTACAATAGGGTGGATTACATTCCAAAAAAAGAAAAATGTGAAAAAGGGCCAAAGGTAGAGGCTGGTGTGCCTGTCAAAGGCAAAGCCCAAATGATGGGACTAAATAGGAAATCACAATGCCCCCCAGCGCCCGCCAGTCAGTCAGTTTGTCAGTCACTCAATCAGCTTGAGCTCCCAGAACAACAGGAACGGCAGAGGCGGCAATCATGGCACAGGGAAAAAATCAACAGAGGGCAGGAAAATGAAACCACAGGAAGGGCAACCTTTGACAGCTGGAAACCACTTAAATTATATGCCTGCTGCGAGCTGGTAGCTGGATGCGACTCCCTTGTCAGTTTCCCCAGTTTCCCCAGTTTGCCAGTTGCTTATGTTAATTTTCTGCTGGCCTAGGCTCAAGCAATTGACATGAACTGAAGTGACTTACTTTGTGGCATGAGTCGACTTCCTGCCCCAACCAGATCCCCGGCAACAGGTGGAGACTCACAGAGAGTGATAGCTTGGGCTACAAAATCAAAATATTAACCAATTTTAAAACATTCTCAGCCTTTAATGAAGAGAACTTGCCAAGTTCTATGAAACTTTTTAAATAAAAGTACTTCCCTTTTAGAAGGAAGCAGCTTAGTGATGCTTAAAAATGCAAATGAGAAAAATCAAAAGCAATATTAATTATAGCTGCACGGTGGAGCGAAAGGCCTGGAAGGCATCTCCGCCGCTGATCCTGGTAATTCCCAGCCATCTGTCTAATGCCTAATGAAGTGGCCAAGCGCTTTTCGAGCTTAACTAGGCTGGCAGGGCAGGGCCAGCGGCATAAACGGGCAAAGCACAGAGGCAGTAGAGATGTTGAGGCAGCATGGTTGTGCCACTACCAGTGGCAGTGGCAGCAACAACTTTTGACAACAAACGCGTGTAAATAGCAAAAGTTTTGCTCGCATGATGTTGAAACAACCCGGAGCCCAGCCAAAACTTAACTGAACTAAACAGTATACAGTACTGTGTATAGTAGAGAACTGTTCGCTTAACTTGGCTGAAAGCTAAAAATCATTTAATTAAAGTTGGGCCGAGAAGGGTGCCGGGGTGCTGGGGGTTGCTAAGGAAACTAAGCTGCTGTCTAAGCAACAAAAGCAACAACGTTGCATGTTGGCGGCTCTTAATTGCTTAAACAAGTAGCTAACAAGCGAACAGGAAGGGGGGGAGTCCACAAGGATTGGGCCACAGTGGCAAGTGCAGTGACCTGCACAAGTAGCTCACATTTTTGCTTCCTATTTAGAGCCACCAAACATGCAAAGACATAGACTTGCATAATATTGTCTAATTAGTTAGGTGCTAACCACGCCTTCACATAAAAAACCTCCACATTCTATCACTTTTTAGAATCAAACATGCAATTTGAAAGCTATCCCTAATCAGTAGCTATACTTTTTTTGATAAATGAATAAACCCAAAGGTTTTTTAGTCCTTGTTGCGTAACTGTACTTGGCCTTAGCTTTATAAACTATCTCCCTGGAGCTGGAATTGTTGCCTGCCTATGCAGTTGGCAGGGTAATTTTTCAACTCTCGCCGAAATGTCAGAAGCAAGCCAACATGCAATTTATGTTGTTTGCTCAAGATTATTCATACCAAAGTCTGGAACTGTTGCAAGTTAGCCCCATCTCTCTCACTCGTTCTCTTGTCCTGTCTCACTTGCTCCTGCGGTGCGTTGTCAATGTCCAAAAAGCTGCGCATGCAGTTTCCTAATAAATGTTTTTTTGCTGATTTTGCTTTTAAAACGCGACTGTACGGAGCTCAAATTGCTGACCATTTAGGGGAGTTCTAGGACCCGGAGGGGCCCGGGATGGGCTAGTGGGCCAGTGGTCGGATAAAAGGGAACAGCATTTCAGCTGCCTGGAGGGCTGGACATGCCCAACTACATGTAATTTTACGCGCAACTTAACTTGTAAACTGGTAGTCCTAACCAATGCCACCTCATTCCCATCCCCATCCCCATGCACCCGCCATCCACTGGCCGTTGCAGGAACAAAGCACTTCACCGCCCACGCATACACCTGGATCAATGTTTGGCGTACATGGCGTATGGGTATTATGGCAGTTTGAAGCATTTCGTGGCTTTGATTTTGAAATTAAAGATTAAAGTGGCCGCACAAATCGCGCTCTGTGGTCTCAGCACCACTCTCCCGCCCCCTTGAGGGCCGCTCCGGGATCCCTCTTATGTAGTCGGATAACGTGGCGTATGAGTAATGTGATCAAATGTTAAGCATACGCCCTGTTGAGCATTAAGCTGGAATTACTGGAATTTCCTCCGATATCAAAGAGCAAAGGAAAACGAGTTGAATGAAATGGATTTACATTGGGGGGTTTTGAATTATTTCTACGAAAAATTCAATGGAAAGTAATCTGGCCAAGGACGAGCAAATAGTCCAAAGGATAATTACACTAATGTAGGGAGTGAGGCAAATCCAAATTTGAGGGAAATGTGGTTTTGGTGAATAATTTCTTCCGCTTCTCTTTAAAGTTCTTGTGCCGAATGGCATTAGCAAGGACAATTTCGTCCTTTTCATGTCCTTTTTGTTCTTTTCACGTAACTATCATCATACTGCAGCTCCGGTAAGTTCTCCAACGGATGTCTACATCTCCTTGGGGTCGCATTTTCGTCGCCTCGTGGCATTGTTCGATTAATTGCTTCACAATCCCATTATGCAATGCCATGGCCCTCCACTAATTTACATGCTCGCCCCGTCTCTTTCTCACCTGCTCTATCCATCTCTTTCGTTGCAGGTACGACTACGAGACTTTACTGCAAAATTCCACTTTCTGTTTGGTTCCGCGTGGACGTCGTTTGGGTTCCTTTAGGTAAGCAAAAAATCAAAAAAAAAAAGAATAATAAACCTTTGCAAAAAGAGTAATAAAAGTGGTAAAAAAAAAAGAGAAAACATAAAAAACAATTTTCATTTTACATTTCACAATTCCATTTTTTCATGGCGTTTTTTTTCGGGTCGTCCTTTTTATTTTCTTTCATTTCAGATTCCTCGAAGCCCTGCAGGCTGGATGCATACCTGTGCTATTGTCCAACGCTTGGGTGTTGCCGTTTGAATCGAAAATCGATTGGAAGCAGGCCGCCATTTGGGCCGATGAGCGCCTCCTGCTGCAGGTGAGCCGATCCGGATTCCATAGCTATATATATTTATTGATATCTACGAATGGTTATATAGTTGGGGGACTATACATACACAATGGGGGATATGAAATATTGAATGCCCATCGCATTGCCTGGCACACTCCCTCTCCACTATTTAGTGGCAGTTTGGTGTGCCACTTTCGGAGTCAGTCGTTTGGCCAAAGCGATTTCATTTGTGCCCCCTGTCTAAAAAGAGGAAACTTTTCATTGTTTATGGCCATGGAGCTCTGATGGCAAAGACACACTCTCTGACGCTGCATGCCACTTTACAGTGTCGCAAATATTTGTTGCACTTTTTATGGCCGAGCCCCACTTGCCATTGATGAATATTTTGCCAGGATTTACGGAGATTTGTGCACCTGTAGCCGGTGCCCAGATGTATGGCCAGTAAGTCAGGTCCTTGGCCAAGTGAATTCGAGCGGAAAATGTATTTTTGTTTTCGCTTCAAGAAAATGGAATATATTATGTAAATGTATTTGCGGACAAATAAGCTCGTTTTTTTTGCAGGGCACTTGAGTAAATACTCATACCAGATTCTTTTGCCTTCCTTGCATCTGTTTAATTTTTAGTAAAAGGAATAATATTAAAGCTTTGAGAGTCCTGCGTCCTTAGCTCTAAGCTTACCTTTGTTGGCGGCCAGGATTTGCCAATCACATCCACGTGAGTGGCTGCCCAAAACTAAAACGAAAAGGACATTCCTTTCAGATGACCAGGACTTGCATTGAAAGAAATATAGTCAGAATACCTTAGATACTTTAGTCCTTTTTGGTTAATAGATTTTCTCAGTGTCCTTAGTGCCACTGTCGCACTTCATTCGCGACAAAGTCTTGGCGCATTGTTTGCCAATTGCCCTGCCATCGTTCCTCCTTTTTTTTCTCCCACTGCTCTGCTGCCCGGCTGCCCTGCTGCTCCTTTTTCCTTCATGTCCTTGGACTTTTTCGTCCTGTCCCTGCACTTCCTGTGCCCGGTCCTCATTCCCCCGTCCATTGGCATGTTTGCCTTTGTAGTTTATTGGCAGGAAATGCAATTAATTAAGTTAACTTGAGCAGGAAACTTGAGCACGGACTCCAAACTCGAGACGACTCGAGCTCGACTGGCTGGGCAAACTCTTTAAACTGTTTGAATTTAGTGCCCCACCTACTGAGGCGCCACTGCCACCGTCACCGCCACCGCAATTTCCTCTCCCCTTACTGCAGCTAGTTGCCCTGCAATTATGATGGATGGCACCCGTGGGTGGCTAAAATCCTTTAACCAATTAAGTTGCGCATGGTAAATTAATGCATTGTGGCTCAGGTGCCCGGATGAGCTGCATCTATTAAGCTGGGATTACGTATAAGGGCAGGGTCTTTCTCATACTATACTATACTATCTTATTTCTGTTCTGCGCTTCCAGGTACCAGATACAGTGCGCTCGATATCGGTGGAACGAATCTTTGCTCTACGCCAGCAGACTCAGGTCCTGTGGGAACGCTACTTTGGCTCCATTGAGAAAATCGTCTTCACAACATTCGAGGTGAGTCCCTACCTAACTCTCTGGAGAAACATTTGCATATGTACACTCTGCCACCTATTTGTGGTTGATAAGTGGGGTGGCGCACAACTTTTGTGGCCTGATGATGGCTCAGAGGAGGGAGTAGCTGGTGCTGGGGCTCCTAGTGAGAAATAGCGACTTGAAGTTACTGCTCCAAGTTGTTGCGGCTTTTGTTGGTTCACTCAATCGACAAGAAACAAGTAACGTAAATGTTCTTTGCTCTACTTAGCATGGAGGATTGCCGGGAACTTGCAACTTGCTGCCGCCGTGTCCTAGAGTACTCTACACTGCGTGCAGTAATTAAGCGAACCGAACTTTGTTCTGACGATGTGTGTGTGTTTCTGTTGGGGTCTGGCCTTTGGCAACTCAAGATTCTTTGTATTTTTATGTATTTATTTCAAGGATCTTTCGGGGGGAAGAAAATTGTAATAAAATGTAAACTGGAATTATTTTCTAAATATCCTTCTTTTGCCAAAAATAGGTTCATAAATCTTATTGCCCTTTCGGCATACTTTCGGAGGGAAGTGTATTTTGGCCATTGATTTGTCGGGCAAACTACAGTCTAAGCCGTCCAAATGTATCTGCTAGATACTTTTGCTCCTTAAGTAGCAAACTTCTACTCCGGCTATTGAATTTGAATTTGGATTTGTCTGTTTTTTGGGGGGTGGCAACTGTAGTTTCAGTGGGGGTGGTGGCCTCTTCCAGTAGGACTGATGGCTGTGGGAGTGTATAAATAAAACACACACTGCACGCACAACCGGGAAAACAACACACAAGCCAGCAACAAAGTTATCTGCACACAAATGGCAAGCAAAAATTCGCGACTCCCGCCGGAGAGGCTGAGAATTGCTGTTTGCCAAGGGGGAGGTGTGGGTGGCAGAGGGTGGAGACTGGAGGAGACGCGAAAAGCAAACTAAACCGCCGCCACTGGAGACCACTTTTCAACACTCAAATTGACACACAGACAGGGACGGACGAGCATGTAGAGATGTAGCTACATGCACGCCAAGAGGATGCACGGCCATTCAATTTTGCGTAATCATCAGGGGGGAGTGGGCGGTGGGGCGGTAGAGTAACAGAGCGAGGGGGCGGCGGTGGAGGGTCTGGAAAGCTGAAGCTGTCAACTGAAACCAGAGACTCCCAGCTCGCATCTCAGTTCGCGTTTGTGGCGAATCTTTCGAATATTGAAACACTGGAAGAAATTGGGGACCTAAGTTTATAGCTTTAAAGGTATCTAAAAAATAAATATATCTTTCACTGAAAGAAATAGTCCATTCAAATGGGGGTATTTCGGGGAGATACATTCCTACATGTTTCGATTTAAAAGTATCTTAAAAATACATGTCCAGCAACTTGCTTTTATTTCCAATAAGCCCTTTAGTATAATGACTTGAATCCAATATTTTTTTTTCTCTGCACACCCACTTTAAGACCAACATAGTCATGTTAACCCATGACGACCGACAACATGGCCATGTCGTCGTCGTGCCTGTCCCAGTGCCCTCTGCTGCTCTTGTGCTCGTTTACAAAAACCGCAGTCCAATGGAGCGGCAAGGGAAATGCGAAGCCGAGAATGGCGCAGATTGCGGCTCCCATACCACCATTCTGGCTCCTAGCTCCCCTGAAGAGTCCCTCCTTCCCGGCTAGTAATAATCAATTTGCAGCTCCTCCAACCCGAAATGTGTGTAACCAAATTAAACACAAATATTTTTCCTTTACCTTGCGACCGAATGCTGAGCCAATTAACCACTTGGCCCACACACACCCGGCCAGAATACGGTCAACAAAGGACATGCATACATGGTTTAGTTTGATTTATGGCCGAGGAGGCGAAAGGCTCTTGTTCTCCCAGGCCTCCCGTTTTGGCCAACTAATTTGCACAGCTCAATAATTATTGTTATTGGCCGACGTGCCGAGCATATGCTGTTTCCTTTAGAAAGCAAGCTGTAATTGGATTTTGATCGACCAGAAAGTAAGTTTATTATCACAATTTATAAAACTATAACAGACTTTAATTTCAATTTAATAAAGAAGGGTTGTCAGTTAAAAAAAAAAGTCCCTGGAGAGCAATTACTGTTGCACAGATTTCATCTAGAATATATGGTAATTTTTCCACTATCGCCTCTAATTTCCACGGGAAAACCTTAAAGCCTGCCATTGAGGTGTACCTGCAACACCAGGAATTCTTCCTTTTGGCCTGCATTTTTGCGGCGCACATTTGATTTATGGGTCGCGATTAAAAAGATGAATTGTGGCATTTTCGACAGAGGGAGAAAAAGAGAGAGAAATATACTGAGTGGGTGTGGGTGGTAGGAGGTCCATCAGAGACATTCGGGCACGCCCACATGCTGAGGTGTGGCACGTGCATCACGTAATGGTTGTGCGCGCAATCCTTTCTGGCTTATTTGACCCACATTTTGCATATGGCCAAGAATGCAGTAGCTTCACAAGGGTCAACATCATGTCTATCCCCGCCTCTTAACCCATTCCCTCCCCCTGTTACTTTGCGGCTTTAATATGCGAAAAAGTTCCTGAGCTGTGGAGCTGTGGAGCCAGGGAGCTGTGCATTTTTATGGCCAAATACTTGATGTGTGTATGCATGTATGGCCAACAAAACGCATTCACCAACAGCAGCGAAAACAATTCCAGAATATTTATTAAGAGATAGTACAAATTCCAGGCTCTGCTCCTGGTGCTACAGAATTTCCTTTATAATTTGTTTTTATTAAAAAAAAAAACTAAACAAAAACAAGAAGGGAAAACCACACAAGCCGTAGCCCCCTCTGTAGGCCACTCACGTCTCACTGTTGCAGAGTGGAAAGTTCCTAATAATCCTTTAGTCTGGGACACGTATGAATATGAATGGATGAGGAGGAGGAGGTGGATGGTGCTGGAGGGGACAAAGGCTTCCTTCGAGCCTTTGGGGAATCCTTTTCCTTTCGCTTACACTTAAGACCCGTTCATGCAGCAAATTGATTTAGGCATAAACAAGCCCGGAACGCTTTTAACCAGAGGGTTAGAGACCGAGGCTACCAAAAAGTGGCAAATAATTTCTGCTGCCTCGCCTGGTCTGGTCGGGTTTTTGGAAATTTCATCTTTCTGGGCGTTGAACCGCATGTGACCATCAGCCGGTGTCAGTTTTTTTTACTTTTCAGAGCTGAGAAGGAGCCTCTACAAGAACTCTGGTCCATTAAAGTCAACAAACTAACAGCCAGGCCAGAACAACAACAATAACAGCTGACGGGTTACGGGTTTTGGGTTTTTCGGGGGTTACAGCTTTGAGTTTTTGGGTTTGAGTTTGGGTTTGGGGCTTGGGGCTTGAGTTAAAGTTTGAGTTTGGGTTCAGGTCAGCCTTTGTTTGTCCCCATCGCCTGATGTTGCCTTGCTTTGAAAGCAAACAGCAAAGGTGAAAGGGTTGGGATGGCTGGGAAGGAAAAACAAATTAAGCAGTTATTTGGGTTGTTAGAGCCACCTCCCCCTCGCAGAGACACACACGCATCCTCCCAACCTGAGTCCTGAGTGACAATAGCCTTTTAGATTGTCGAGTGTGCAGCATAATTCCTGGCTTTTAAATATGCCATTAAACGCAAATTAGATAATTAAGCTACTTTGTCCTATTCATAACGAAGAGCTAGGGTCTTCATTTTGATGAAGACATATGGAATGCTATTCATATTTCATTTTGAAGCCTTTTACAACTAGATTTCCATATCAAAGAGATTAAAGAAATTCGTAAAAGCCTTCACCACGAATCATCAAATATGCCAAGAAGAAGCTGGCTTCCTTCGGCAATTTCTCATTCAATTGCCAGAACCCTTTGCAACTCGAGCAATTACTTTAATTAATAAATCAAAAATTGAACCCGAAAGCAAAACCACAACTAAACTTTTGCCTTGCCACTTGCCTGTGAGAATCTGGCCTATAGTGCGTGTGTGGGGCTGATCCCAAGATTTGCATAATTTTATTGTGTGTGTTGAACTTTCGACTAGCCGACCATCCGCTGGCGGTCCAATCTGAGTGGGCCAGAAAGGCAGGGCCGCAGTATCCCCACAAAAAAGGTCACTCCAAGTCCACTTACCGAACTTACTTCTGGCCCACCGGGTTGGCCCAAAATCTTGGCCTAAGCCCCAAAAGCCCCTCCTAATGCCTATTGTGAGTGTGTGTGACTGGAGCGAATGGATGTGACCGATAAGCGTGTGGCATGCACTTAAGTTGCACAGGGCGGAAAAGCGAAAAGCGGAAGCTGGCTAAAGTTCGAAAGTGGTCACAAAACAACAAAATAGAGGAATAGACCCCAACACAGCTGCAGAGAGGTTCTGCATATGAAGCTACACAGTGATACGAAAAGGAGACAATAGCTTTCTGAGAAATAATTAAAGAATGTACTAGATTTAAGGCAAGTTCAGCTTCAAATGGCATATTTAATTGCAAGAAGTAATCATTTTATCTTTTCTTGAAAAAGGTTTTAAATATCCGTTAGGCTTCTTGGTATTTATGGTATTTTTTGTGGCTTGTGGCTTTCTGTGGCTTTGGATTTCATGCAACAGAATATGTTGCATACTCACAGGCAGCTGTCGAAAAAAGTTAGCAACTCACCTGTCGCCTGTCTTTCTTTTGTCTCGCCAAGATTTGAATTTCAAAGTACTAGCCTCCACCCACGCCTGAGAAATCATCAGTATCTTGGTAGCATCTAGGCGGGCAAAAGTGAAAGAAGAACAACAACTTATTACTTTGAATAATCCTATTATGCGAATGCAAACTTTTCGCCAGGAACACTACTTTGAAGTCAACTGTCTGGCCGCACCCAGCACCCAGCTCCTAGTACTTTCTCTCGGATTCATTCCATTGAATCGTGCACTCACTCAAGCGCCACTAACTCGCCTTAGTGGCCGCTCAAGCACTGCAAGAAATATCCCAGCTATCCTATCATAGTAGATAACTTAGTTAGACACTCCTTTCAGATAAAGGACACATTCAGGTGGAGTAGGACAGTGGAATAAGTAGGTTAAATAGGTTTTTATTTTTTGGCCCAAAAGTGCCAACAAGGTTACTAATATTTTACTGAAAAACATCCTCTGGCCTATTAGAAACTCCACCTTCGACCTCTTGCAGCAGTGATGCAACCTAATTTATTTTCAAGTTGCAAACTTTGAAAACTTTTTCGTTGACCTCGTTCGGTTTTACCCCATAGTTTTGCTCGCAGCTCACTGGTTAGCCAGCCCCGGCCCCTCCGGTTGTCTTGTTGTAGTTAATTTCTCCCACTTACCTGTCCATTATGGCCAGGTCCTGGACTCAGGCCGAGAGCATCTGAGCTCTGGAGATAGTAGAAAATGCCGCGACAGCAACTCAAAAGTTTTCTTGGCGCAAATCCTTTGGCCTAAGCTGATTTGGCTTCCTCGGAAAGGAACTTGTTCTTTAATTGATTTTCCATTATCAGGTTCTGTACTTGAATACATATCTTTGTTTTTTTTATTATATATTTTTACCGAAATGCATTTTATCTTCTCATGAGGACAATCATAAATTACAGAAAGTGTAAGGCGACAAAAATCTTACTTAGCATAGGATACACATAGAGCCAAAAAATAAACAAAAATAGTTGCGTCATTAGATCACTTAAGGCACTTAAACATTTAAACATTAAGAGTTGAACCAAAGTAGTTGTTGTACATTATTCACTTGATATTGATATGACGTTACATCAGATATATAGGTATACATCAGATCAGATCCTTGGGTGATTTCTGTGAATGTGGGGCAATATAGCAGTTTAGCAGTTGCTCTCGGAGTCTGTGAATCTCTGCGGTGAGTTGTGAGTTTGAAGATGTGGCTTCTCCAATCCGATTCGAATTAAGTTCTGGCTGCTGCCCCCGCTTAGAAGAGCAGGGAGAAGAGACTCCTTACGCCAGTGGAGCCAGCTCCGGAACCGAGGGTAAAGCCCGTGCTGGGCGTGCCGCTGCTCCGGTGACGCGAGACGTGGCTGGAAACGTTAGCACGGACACGGTCGTAGCTGGCAACATCCTGCAAGCAAAAAGGACAAAAGTTAGTATCAAAATCCCAAGGGCGAGACAGTGTAGGGTTTCGCGTACTGGTCGAGCACGAACTCGAGGTGTCTGCAGTGGCGGCAGATGTCACAAGTGCCGCACGTGTTGTATATCGACAAGACTCTCACCTCTTTGTCGGCGTTGGCCAGGACGGAGCGCATCGAGTTGGCCACCGGCCACTTCTTCTTCATCACCAGGTTGTTTGGGGGGTCGTGAGCAGTGCCGGCATCCACTGACCAAATGGTCACACTAGCTCCGCCCAGGACCTTGGATCCGCGCGAAAACTTGAAGGCCAGCTCCTCGTCGCCGGCGATGCGGGTCAGCTGCCAGCCGGTCAGGTTGATCTCCTCGGTGCCCTTGTTGTGCAGCTTGATGAAGCGTCCCTCGACGTCCGCCTCGATGATCTCCAGGTCGCCCTTGGCCGCCGCGTTAACCGAGTACTCGGACAGTGTGCGATCCTCGCTCTCGTCGATCACAGTGCGACGGCGCTTCACGGCGCTGGAGCCCGAGATGCCGGGGGTGGCCGAGCGACGTCCGCTGGGGGTAACCCTTCCGGATCGGGAGCTGCTGCTGGCGCTTAAGTGGGCGCTGTTGCCGTTGCTGGAGATGCCCGAGTCGGTGCCGGGGCGTCCGGGGGATTCGATGTTGAGGCGACGCTCCTCGCCGCACAGCAGCTTGTCGTAGGCGGCGATCTCCAGGTCCAGGGACACCTTGATGTCCATCAGATCCTGGTACTCCTGCAACTGCTGGGCCATCTCGTCGCGCATGCGCTGCAGCTCGGCCTCCAGGGAGGCAATGTACTGGTTGTGGCGCTGTCGCTCCGTGTCCAGCAGGTTCTCCAGCTCTCGGATGCGAGTCTGTAAGGGGGGAATCATAAATTAGTAAAAGGATAAGGGTTCATCTGACCAACCACTCACATTCAATCCAGCATTGGTGTTCTCCAGGTCCTGCAGCTTGGCGTTCAGGCTGTCGATCTTAGTGCGCATGAGACGAACCTCCTCGGTGGCATGAGCGGATCCCTGGGCAGCCCGGGCGGCAGCAGCCTTGAGGTTCTGGATCTCGTTGTCGTACAGCAGCTCGATCTCCTCACGATTGGCGCGCATCTGGGCCTCGTACTGGTCGCGCAGCTCCTGGAGGGATTGCTGCAGCTTGGCCTCGTACTGGCGCGACAGGCGGCCGTCGATCTCGCTGATCTCGATCTGGCGACGGGAGCGGGTCTCGGTGAGCTCCTGGGTATGGACCTGATCCTTGAAGGCCAGCTCCTCGCGCAGGCTCTGGTTCTGGTTCTCCAGATCGACACGGGCCAGTGTCTCGGCCTCCAGCTGCTTGCGCAGATCGTCCAGCTGGCGACGCAGCCGCTCGTTCTCAATGGCCAGATCCTTGGCCTGATCCTCGAACTTCTTGCGGTCCACCAGGGCCTGGTTGTATTTGTTGTTGACCTCATTGTAGCGAGATTCATAGAGGCGGGCATTGTTCTCGGCCACGGTTGCCTCCTTGGTCTTTTTGTCGAGTCTGGATAAGGGGAAGATATAGTTTAGATCTCGAGTCTCGGTATAGTGTAATGTTTTTGAAACCCAACCATGTGCTATACAAATGACGTCATTTGTTGCCTCTACTGACTCACATTTTCTCTCGAAAGCTACAGCCAGCTCTCCTGCCTCTCTACCTCGAAGCTCTCCCATGTATTATTCATTTTATTTATTTAAATTCGTATCACTCGCTTGGAAACTCGTTCAACGTCCCCCCAATAGGAGACTCAAATATTAAAGCATTTTAAGATTTTTGTGTTTGCCTTGGGAGGCGAGGCGTCACATGCCATTAGCATAAAGTAGCCCGGCTATTTCTGACCAACCCCTTCCCTCTGCCCGCCTGATTTATGGCCACCTATCGGTTCAAAGCGTTTTTTATTCTATTTCCAATTCTATTTGGCCGAAAACAAACTTGTTTAAAAAAAAATATCTATAGAACATTCCGCACATATTCCCCAGAATACTTGTGACATCTGTCGCTTATGGAGCTCCTCGCGTGGTCGGCACGTTTTATGATTTAAATATAGACTGTAATATAGCCATGAATTATAAAAATGGGATAATTCGTATTATGTGCTATGACTTTGAATTGCTTTGAAGAAATTTTAATAGCGGATGCTTTATCCCGCCTTATAGGGCAGAACTTTGTTGTAAACATCAGGAAAAGTTTCGTAAAAATAGGAAATAGAATCAAGGTTGTTTGGTTTGTGTTCTAGTTTTTCCATTTTCCTAGTTTCCCCCTTGTGCGTGTTGAAGTTCCATTTCTTTTCCCCCCAATTTCCTTCTCTGACCCAATTTTTCTTTTGTCAAAATAGAGCAATTTTAGAAAATGACGATATCCTAATGAAATTTTTTAACAAAAAATTGGGTCTAGCTGCAATAATTTGGTTTGAAATTCCTCACAAAGACCCCGGGGTGTTGCAATCTTATCGCCTATACCGCCCATAGGGTTCGTATCCGATTTCCTTAGTTACAAATGGCTTATTACGTTTTGGAACCATTTCGGGCCCACCTTAAAAAAAAACCTGAAAATTCAAGTTTATCCAGCATTTAGCCAAACTCTATCTGAACTTCATTATCATCCGGGGCTATTATGATTTAAAAAAAAAAAGCTTTAGATCCATAAATACCTTTTATAAACATGCCCCTGATAACGAAAGCACCACTGAGCGGAAATAGCTGAAGGGGAAAACTAAACATTTGTTGACATCATACCGAAAAAATAAAGAAACTGGTTGAGGATTAGACTATGGTGTTTGGAAACTGCGTGCTGCGTTTGCTCTATGACATCATAGTCTTGTAACCTTCATTGAGATTTACGGCTTCTGGTTGGCTTTGGTTGTTTCTGTTTTTATTTTCGTTGCTCATTAAACGCGAACCTCAAAATTTGCATAAATTGTACAGCCGAGAGACTTCTGAAAGTGTTAATGTAAAAAATAAACAAAATTCGACCGATAGAGAGAGGGAGACGCCATGTGCGTGGCTTTCGAAGTGTGCTTTTTGGCATGACATCATCGCACTCACAGTCTATCTCTCTCTGCACCTTAAGAAATGGAACTCTATATCATCTGTTTTTATCAGATATAAGGCTATTAAAAGACTACTCTCTAGTTATCACTCTGGGTTCCTGTTTACTGATGAATGATACATATTTTGTGAAACTTTCACCTTTCTTCTCCAAGAGATTCTCAAGATAGCTTAGTGGTTCAGACTATTAACTTTTATGTGATAAACTCTCCCTAGTTTCCTTTCAAAACCGTTTCCCTACCCTTAATTTCTTCCTGTGTATGAATGACATCACTGGCTGATAATACTCTGTTGTGTTACCATTCCACCCGTTCCCTGGCGAGCTTTACCTCTGCTTCAAGTCGTCGTTCTCCTCCCACCAACGCTTGCTATCGATCTCCAGCTTGGCCTTCTCCTTGGCCGTCTCGTCCAGCAGCTTGCGGGCGGCGGCCAGCTCCTTCTCGTAGACGGCCTTCAGGTTGGAGGTCTCGCGGTTGACCGTATCCTGGGCCAAGTGCAGCTCCTGGGTGAGGCGACTATTCTCGTTCTCCAGGTTGCGCATGCGATCGATGTAGCAGGCGAGACGATCGTTCAGATGCTGCAGCTCCTCCTTCTCCTGCAGGCGGGTGGTGCGCGTGGGCGAGGTGGGGCTGGTGGCTCCCCCCCGCGACGAGGTGGACGCTCCACCCACCGGCGTGGAGTTGGAGGCGCGCGAGACGCGTGTGTTCAATGTGACGCGGCGAGCTGACATGTTTGTTTTTTTTTTTTATTTTTATTTGCGAGGTTCAAGTACAATGACGCTTTCTTAAGTACCTAATACTCCTATCGCTATGAATATATATATATTCCCGACGTATGTGCTAGCTGATATATTTTTTGTACGTCCGCTTGGCTTGACTGCTGAAAATTGACTGAAACTTTGCCTCGAGAAGCCGAACGAACTGAACGGCCATCATCGACAAAATTAGTCGACGTAGCTGCCAGGCGGTGGTGGCTGCCAGGCGGTGGAGCGGCGGTGGAGCAGCGGTGGGGCCTCCCATAAAAAATAACACGAATGTGTTTCTGCCGCTGCTCTCTCTATTTTGTTTCGCTTCTCTCACACCTTTTGGCTTTATTATTATTGTTGTTTCGCCTTCTTACCATTCGTATTTCGTATTATAACTATGTACAGCTGTTTGTGTGGCGTTTGGAGCCGCAAATAGAAATCACCTCAAAAAACACAAAATTAATTCCCAGTTTGCCGGCTGGCCTTAAAGAACTCTTTCTCCAAAGTTCGACAAAGAAGCTAATTTAAGAAATAATAATATTTAATCTATAAAAAGGGATTACAGAGTGTAAACACAAAGCTTACTAGGAAATGGGGTTTCTCAACTGTATCTTCAAGTGAAATTCCTAAAATGCATTCCAATGGGCAACTTCCTCAAGGTTAATGAACGAAAGGAATGCTTTAAGATACTTTAGGGATAGGTCTAGGTCTCTTGAGTGAAAAATGCGTGAAAAATTGCGTGAAACTTTTCCAACCAAATATTTTATCACTTTGGCCGACGTTTTCATTATGATTTGTTAGACTTTGGCTCTCCGCATGAATTAATGGCCCTTAATAGTGATTGCGACACATGAACATCGACCACAATGGACACCCACATCATCAATTCCATTCCATTTGGCCCACAGCCGGTCTATGGTCTATGGTCTATGGTCTCTCGTCTATGTACTGTGTGTGTCACTCGAGTTTATCGATCAGCAGCGGGTCAATTATGGCCCAAATTATGAAATACGGCCAAGAGTGGGTGGGCCGGAGTGGGCAGGCTGGGTGGCTTGGCGGCTTGGCGGTGCGGTGCAATGTCGACTTGTCATAAGCGGAATATTTATTGACATTGACTTCGGGAGCGTTTTAGGAAAACCAACAGTCATAATAATAAATAACCAGTTGAAAACGAGTCGAGGAGGTTGATAGGGGCTCGAAGAGAGAGAAAGCTACGGTGGAGAAAAAAGATAGCATATAGACAGCCAGAAAGAGAGGGCAGACCTTTCTATTTTGCTTTTATTTTCAAATGTAAATAGCCGGCAAACAATTTTTTTATTCTGCCCCAGAGACTAGCCACAAGAGAGAGAGCTTTGAATTCTCTCATACACTTATTTCTTTCTCTTTTTTATTCTCTATTTTTTTTTTGTTTTTTATTATTTTATTTGTTGTATTCCCCAAGTGAAAATATGTGAACTTATCATGCAATGTGCACGCCTGTGACGTCATCACTATAGTCACTCAGAGTGCCAAGCAGTGACCTCCAAAGGCATTCGCTTCTCAGTGACGTCATCAAATTATTTTTAATCATGCCGTCGTCTATATGGATTCTCTTTTTGCTTTTTTTATTTTTGTTTCTTGTTGACTTCTCTTCTGCCATCTTTCCAAATTATAATTATACTTTACCAGTTTGGGTTGTGAACCGTGCGCGTTAGCTAATTAAGCCTAATTAACGTGCCCAATTGTTTGGACAAAGCTGGCATTTAAGCCTAAACCGATGTTAAATTGCTATTTCCCTTCTATGTATGTTTGTCTTCCTGCCATTGAGACTTTTATTTTTGAAATCATACTTCCATTGGAATGTTGAGACTTCTGGCCCGACTGGCTTGTCAATTTGTCACTTGATGAATGGCCCGGGATTAAGGTTATAAATTGATAAGAATTACTGCAATGCCCTGTGGGAAATCAGCATTATTAGAGGGGGAATTACGTGCATAATTGAAGTTTGTTTACAGAAACCCCTATTGAACCATTGTTATTTAAATATTACAGCTTGAGGCATTTCCAATTTAAAATGGTGCTTGTCTTTCCAGTAGATAAAGTATCTATTAACTTTCAATAAAGTTTCGTAAACAGAACCCCTAAAATGCCTAAGGCAAACTGCCATTGTAAATATTGATTCAGTATTTATTTGCTTTTTGTTACATTTTGTGTGTGTTTTTATTTTAGACCGAATCAAATACACATTCAGTTGCTGTACCTATTGACTAAATTCAAACAAAATTAAAGTCGCCTGGCCGGCCATCCAAACTTGTTTGTTTTTCTGCTTTTTGTGTTTTTTTGGTTGTTTTACGAATTTGTCAAAGCAGCTTCATAACTTCGCGAACAACGACAACGTCAACGACAGCTCCCAAGTTTGCTAACAATAATGACATCATCGTCAGCTTAAAGTTTGAAGTCATGGCAAATGACGTTATGAACGCCAAGAAGATGCCCGAACTCCACTTTAATTAACGATATAATATTTCTATAAATATTCACGACTTTTAAACTTTGAAATCATTGAAAATTTATGTTTGCTGAACTGACAAACCAAACCCAAAGAATTTTTAAACCAATATACATATAGTGACATATCCATAGCATTATACATAAACTATGTAAATGTCCACACACCCACACACTCACACATACACATTAAGTATTTGTCAGAACTTACCCTTGAGACTTAGATTCAAATAGGCAAATGCACCGAACATGATCCTAGCCCAAATCAGACCTAAACATAATTGAGGATGGAAAAGTACTTATAAACAAAAATCCTCAGACTAAACAGACCGAGGGAAACATGCATTCAGCACGTTCCCATAATTCAGATCCCCAAACCCAATCGTAAAACTCAAATTTCGGGACCAAAGACAAAAACAAATTCAAAAGCAAGAATCCAAAGTCCAATCGGGAAAGTTCTCAGCCTAAACAATAAAACACACTCAATTAGAATAAACACACTCAAGTAAAGCTCGAAAGCTCCAAAACCGAGGTTTGATCGTAAAAGAAGTCAGAGTTAGGAGTGAAGTTCAGTTTAAGATCTACAAGTAGTAGGTTGGTGTTCTTCAAATAAAGAATATTTGTAACCAGTTGGACATAAGAAAAATAAAGATAATTTTTTTTTATTGAAAACTTATGGTGCAAACATTTAATTGGCGCAGTCGGTAGGATTTCTAAAAAGGTCCTTACACCAAGTTATCGGTACTGATCAACAAAGAAGGATAATACTATACGACTAGTTTATCCTGATCAGCGAAAGTGACTAAAAGAAATCCGCAAAAGAATTTATGTGCAGTGCGACTGTATATAAAGACAATTAATTAAAAATCCAATTCGGTCAATAACTCCACGAATTTTCGTGCGACAATATTGCAATACAAAAACTTCAAAAGCGATAAAAATGGCGACACCACAGTTATCCGAGATCCATCTCAATCAATTGATTGGACAAATCAAGGAACTGCCTTATTTCGACGGCAACCCAATAGAGCTCAGCCGATTCATTACACGGGTCGAGTATCTGTTGCAGTTATACCCAACACAGGATGTGAGGCAAAACCATATCATCTACGGGGCCATCGAGAGGACCATTATTGACTCAGCACAAGCAGTCATCGCAGAAGAAAAAACCACAACATGGATGCAGACGAAACTGGCCCTGATTAAAGCATTCAAGGACCATAGGCCATACGAAGATGTCATCCGCCACGTACATCAAACACCTTACCCAGGGAGCATCAGTAAGTTCATAAACGAACTTAAAATCAGGTCATCCGTAGTTTTAAATAAGTTAGATTTAGAAATGGATCAGACAGATAAAACAATTTATACAAGTTCATTGAACAAAACAATCAGGGATTGCATTGAAAAGAAACTTCCGGACAGATTGTATAATTCACTATCGAAAAGAGATATTACAACTATTACTAACTTAAAAGAGGCAGCCATGACTCTAGGCCATTGGGATTCAGATCCATACGATAATTATAAAACCAGGTATTATGATCAACGTAGGAATTTGGGTAATTCAAGACAGAATCAAAATTACTCGAGAAATAATTCAAATCATTATCCCCGACATAACTCAAATAATTATTTGAATTATAATCCAGGATCAAGCAATCCAACAAATATTCCGAATTCACCTGCCAGAAACCAAAACCAAGGCAACTATCATGAACTCAGAAGGAATTTAAATCAAGGTAGAGCTCAGAACCCCATGAATTATCAGGCATCAACTTCTAATAATTCTCCAAATGCACCTGTTAAGAGACAGAGAGAAAGTGAAAGCGCCCAAAGTAGAATGGACGTAAATTTTCAGCAAATAGCCTCGGAAAACGAAAACAGTATCCTTATATCAGAGTAGTAGTCAAAGGTAAAACTCTCAAAGCAATGATCGATACAGGATCTTCCATTAACATCATGAGAGAAAACTCAGGAAATTTTGCAGAAACTAACGAAAATCAGAAAGTCTATACAATAAATGGACCAATTAACTTACTTAAAAGCATTACATTAAATCCCAGTAAAATTTGCCCAGTAAAACAAAAATTTTTCTTACACAAATTCTCAGAGAATTATGACATACTTATAGGCAGAGATTTTTTGAAAGAAAGTAAAGCTAAGATAGATTATGAAGATGAATCAATTACGTTAGGAGACAAAAAACTTTTCATTGAATATGGTGAAGATGATAAAGAGGGCAAGACCGCACTAAAATGCCTTAGCTCAAAATCATCCGAACAAGAAATTAAAAAGGGCAAGACCGCACCAAAATGCCTTAGCCCAAAGTCAATCGAAAAGAAAGAGGAAAAGGATGAGACCGCACAAGATTGCCTTAATCCACCTCTATCAGAAGATGACTCATTTAATTTTTCCATAAACAACGAACTTAGAGAATGCAACGAATTTCGTCTCGAACATTTAAATGAAGAGGAAAAGAAAGATTTAAAAAGGGTTTTGTTTGAATTCAAAGATATTCAGTACAAGGAAGGTGAAAATTTGACTTTTACTAGTACAATAAAACATTCAATACAAACAAAACACGAAGACCCGATATATAAAAAGCCATACAAATATGCGCAAGCTTTTGACGAAGAAGTTAATACACAAATTACTGAGATGATTAAACAAGG